ATAAAAGTTAATAAAGATCCTTTTAACTTGTAAAATAAACCCACGTTCTTTTAAATTCGTGACACTTATCTTGTAACGCTCCTCTACGATCGCCTTGACCTTGTGCCAAATCGTAAAACCGCCTCTGTTATCTTTGAGGAACGTTACGCGACATAACCGATTTTCTAGCGACAATTCGTCGCATTTGCCCCATCTCTGCACTCGTCCATTAAGCCTGTCACAATACGCATTTACCTAGTACTATATATATGAAAGCTTATTCGAAAAACCGTGACGCTTGGTTCTAGATTACAATTTATATGAAAGATTATTTGTTCTTATAGGTAGATAATTATAATTGATGCGAATTCGTCAATTAGTTGGTAAATAGACAAGATTATGACATGCTTATATACTTTACGAAAAATAAAATATATTTATTCTAAGTTCTAAATTTATTTCACTTCAATTTTGTTATTTTTTTTCTCTTTAAAACTTACAATTTGATTGGCTGATCAACAAGTGTCAATACATGAACTTTGTGTACCATTGAATGGTTCCTCCTGTTCGTTAATATAGGTTTTTATGTAGCACAGGCATTGCATCATTTCATGTGACCCGTTTCTCATATACGTTCGATAAAATAATACTTTATTTATGAAATAAAATAGTTGCCGGTAGCAGGCCTACAATACATAAAAATTGCGACTATATCACTACATGATACTGTGAATTTATTAATAGGAATATACAGTGACATGGAAGAATTCTGCCTAAAACTTCGTATGAGAAGTTTATAAATTAATAAATATACGAAGAATTAATTTATTTCAAATATATATAAGATAGACTGATACACATAAAGTGAAGTAAAAGTGGTTTTTATTATTAATAAACCCAAACACATCAATACAATCTACAATCTATAAACCAAAACTTATTACGATTAATAGACCAAAACACAACGCAAAAACCAAGCATATTCAAGTATTAAACCCGGAACTTCTTTTACAGTAAACCTACTATTGTTCAAATTCAATAGTTAGTAAAAAAAAGTTTTTCAAATCTAACGTAATAAGGCTGTCTTGAACAAACACGTTCTCACTTATCTTCGTTTCAATATAATTTGAGATTGTCCAATAAACGGTCGGTATATTTTGTCTTCTAAGCAAAGTATACGAGGAGTACGATCTTTTTTTGATTCTTTTGTACAGTGAATCTTGACACTATTCTTAAGCTATAAATAGTCTTTGCAACGATTTTTTATTAGTAAAACGTTGTGTTACGGAAAAGTACTTTAAAGAGTGTAAATAAGTTACCCGGGCAATTGATTTGCATTAGCCAATCAGACGATCTTCTTCCTTTGAGTTTATTATAAATAAAGGGCATTTCTGCCTAGGGGGGAAGAGAGTCGTCCCTTATACAAATAAATCCACCAGTACCAATAAATATCCGACCCATAATAAAGTATCAGTTCTAGAATAAACTAGTTTAAATTGTTAACCCAATTGCGAATACAATCGTTCGCCCATACATAACTAAACCCGCCATTGACGGCTCGCCACAAATCACGTGACAAGACCGATAACGTAATAGAAGAGTCTCAACCCCGATTCGACGTAGAGTAATCCCAGGTTGAGGTAGACAAAGAGAAGCCTAGATTAGTACGAGAAGAGGTTGAAGGAAAGACTCAAAGAGGAGAGACAAGTACTTACCTACGGATAATCCACCAGCCAAATCTAACGCGCCTATTTCGACTTAGCCGCCGTAGGTTACGCGAGAGCTGGATTAGTTTAGCGACAGACTCGCCGACTTACGAATCACACTGAACTTTGTTATTATCTAACTATTTGTTTAGTGAAATAGCTCCCAATTTTCTAATCAAATAAAGAGCTACTAGTTGTGTAATTTAATTGATATTTACATTGGTACCTAATTAAATACGTAATATAAATATAGCTTTAATGAGGGTACAAATTTGATTGCAAAAGTCTATCATTAGTGATAAAATCGAAATTGTCACTAATCATTATCACGTGACTAAAACTGAGCACAAATTTTAATAACGTGAACTTTATCTTTGCATAACAAAAAAAAATTCGCAGTAGATTTACCACCTCAGTTCGTATGTTGAATAATTATCACCAAGCACAGATTATAATAACGCTATTTATACCTCATTTTTGATATTTGTACCTTCTATCAAACAAAAATGTTTTAAAACTGGTATTTTTATTAAGTAAACCTCTTTAATAAAGTTGTTCCTTAGACCTTTCTGGTTCTAATTATAGTAAAATGATTAAAATTGGTTTAGAAATTTTTGAGTTATTAATATTTGAAGTTAAGAAATATTAATTAACTTTAAATAAGAACTACTAATCCAATTTTAATGATTTTACTATCATTAGAGCGACAAAGGTCTGAGGAACAACTTAAGACTACTAAAGAGCTTACTTAATAATAATATCTACTTTAGGGCACTTTTTGTTTGATAGGGGTACGAATATCAAAAATGGAATGTATAAATATCAATTCCCTAACATAATAGCGATAGTGTTACAACATACGATAAGGTAAAAAGGAGTATTATGGAGAAGGGGTGAACCTAGATCTATCGATCAAAACTAGATGATTTTTATACCATTCGATTCGTCCTGATGAATGGTGCTGAAATCTTTTACTTTCGATCACTGGATCACAAGCTATTGTGCGTTCTAATGTCATACATTGACTTTACATTTTTGTGATAGCATTGAAATATTCTAGATATAGTGTAACTGTTAAGATTATAGGTCGTCAAGAGGGAAATTTTCATATTAAATCGCGAATTTAGTTTCTTACTAACGCTATTAACGAGGATTTTGACGAAATATGAAAATTTGGAGGTTTTTTCAAAAAACTTACAATATTAATAATTAATGCTATCACAAAAATGTGTTTTGCAAAATAAAAAAATATTTCATAACCTCGTGATCGAAATTGAGAGATTTTTGCACCATTTAATTCGTCTCATAAGAACGAAATATAAAAATCTTCAATTTGGATTAATAGATCCGAGTTATATTAGATTTGCCCATCAGAATCGAGAGATTTTATTACCTTACGGTTCATCTTGATGAATGGTATAGCAGTTTGTTCAATTTGGAATAATATATTTATTACAAGTTATTCTAGGTTATCTATTAACTTCGCCACAATACCCTTCTACCTTCTATACAATTCATAAAAAGTTTGCATAGGACAAGTTTTTTTTCTAACTTTTTTTGTTTAATTGTTGATAGAAACGAATTACAAATAAATATTACCAATTATGTATTAAATAATGCAGAGTAATATTGCTATGCTATAAATTATATTAATATTTTTCTAATAAAAATTGAAACAAGAGATTTCATTTTTCATGACGATTCGACTCCACATATTTTGCAATCATTTTATCATTCCCACAAAGTTTATCTATACCATGAGTAAATATATCTAAATCGGATACTTTTATCTCACATTTCCTGTAGTCATTTACAACAAGATAAGACAATATAGCTTGATCTTGTCTATGGTTTATCCTACTACTTCCCATTGGAGCTATACATTTTTTTTCAAGAGCACATTCGTATAACTTGTCTATTAAATATTGTGTTTTCCTAGTATCAAAAAACAGGGCAGCAGCATTACAATTAGAAAGGTTTACATATTTACTGGCATCATCATTAAAATACTTGAAAACGCCAGGATGAATCCATTGATCCATGGTGCCTGAACTTCTTGGAGAAAGAAAGCCATCATATAATTTGAGAATTTTAGGAAGGTTTTCTAAGATCCTTTGACCAAGAATAGTTCCAGTATCAGCCCACGTCAGAATTCCAGGGAATTCCATAGAAATTTCTTTGAGAATTCCAGCTTTCCAACCATATTCACCCTTTGAAGTTTTATTTTTAGGATCCCAAAATTCTGGGTATTTTGAGAAGTTAAAAGTACGAAGTTTGGTGAAGTATTTGACTGATTTTAATGCATTAATATAAATTTTCTGTTCTCGTTTTAGACCCAAATCATAAATTATTATTCTTGGTTTTATATATTTTGGTAAAAGTAATTTAATAGTGTTAAGATGACTTATCCAAGTTTTTAATTGACACCAATGATTAAAATTTGCAGCTGTAACGACGGTAAAGGAGTATCCATCCGGATTAGAAAAGTCTTTTGGATTTGGCGGTGATATGATATCAAACACAGTTTTATTTCGATCATAACCTAAGAAGCAAAATTTATTAAAACGAAAAAAAGGATATAATCAATCCACCATAAATGTATCCTTTGACATGATGTAGGATTTGTGAAAGTATTTGAGAATATTAATATTTTAGGCAATTATTAACAAGTTTATAAAATTATTAATGAAATGCTCTCTATAATATAAATGTACACACACTATAAAGGAGCACTTTTGGACTTTCGCATAGATTTTTAAAAGGATACATTAATGGAAGGCTAATTAACATAAATTTATGATAAAATTTTATACCTTCTGATTCTTTTAATTTGCTTTTTTGTGAAGGTTTTACTTGATAAATAAGTATAAAAAAAACAAAAAGAAATATGAACATAAATAATATTGGTTTTCCGTGTCGTCTTATCATTGTTTTTTAGTTAAAGAATTGGATCAAAGTGTTTAAAATTAAACAAATCCAAATCGTAATAGGTGCCTTTTTATTTATTCATTTATGTTACCAATTTGGTTGAATGATCTTTAATTTACAATGTACAGAATATTTAGTCAATCAAATTCATACAATCAAATAGGCACAAACTGACAGTCGTAACATTTTTAATTAATCACAATATCGCGTAACCTAGTGATTTAACTCGTATAAATTTGATAGCATTCAATTCGTCTAAATAAGATGAATTAAATGGTACTAAAATTACATGATCTCGATTATTAGATCACAATATTGTGTGATTTAATTAAAAGTGTTATGTACGAATTCGACTCTCAATTTGTCATCGACTTATTGCTTAACGACTAATGCTAATAAGGAGTTCAGCACTCTAAACTTGAGTCCGCTAATTTTCCCCCAGGTTACTATTGGTCGTGAATAAATCGCATTTCTAATTGGATAAAATCGACGATTTTTAATAACGTGACGCATCTACAGAACAAGATTAGGTGTAACATAAAATTAAAAAACCAATTGTAAAGACTCATTTATCTCAAAATTTCGCCTAAGAAATCGCCTTTTTGCGTACTAACAAACCAAGTTTTTGCTACAAAATCGTCTAGTATTAATTCTGACATTGAACTTAACTTTTTAAGGATAAAATGTCATGTTTGGTGCGAACCAATAGGAACTTGGGGAAAATTAGTAAATCCTCTAAACTATAGTTGGCGGTAGAATTACTGAATTACGACATTACGGCATTTTGCCATGTGGTATTATGAAATAGTAGCTATGATGTAATGCTATTACGGCTCAAAAAAATTCCACATTATTCTGCCACAAACTATACCCTAAACCTCTAACCCTAATTTTGGGTCTTAGTTGAAAATTTTATGATGATAAAAAAGCATAGATGTACATGCATGTTTGCTAATCTTTACATTTTGAATTACGGAAGATCGATTTATGCATTAATGTTACACAAAATTTTACAATAAAAACATATGAAACATTCAGGAGGGACCGTCCAAATAAGGAAATGATCTTCCCGGCTTGCATAATTAACCCGCCAATCTAAAAAATTAAAAATTAATTAATTAAAAAAATAATTACGTTTAATTTATACGTATAATTAATTAAAATTACGTTTAAATTATATAATTAATTAAAAAAAAACTACAAGAATTTATGACTTTACATAATTTTTCATGCATATAACAGACTTTACAAACTATATTAATCAATTAAAGATATTTAATGCTGCATTTTATGAACCTTCGGCAATACTACATAAAAAACAATATAAATTTATAAAATTGTTAATTTTATAATGACATAAATTTATATCAAGCGATTATATAGTGCCCGATCCAAAGTGAATTCCTCTCACTTGTGATCAATCACAAATTAAATTATTTATGTTGAATTCAATTGTGACGAATATAACCCCTCACTAGTTTTAATATTTATGTAACATTAATGGTCTCTGCTGTTACATTATAATGTAAAATTGGTTTGAATAATTGATTTATTTAATAAAAAAAAAAAAAAATTATGATATAGAAAATAATCACTTTGCCTCTTCAAATGAATTTTCTAAATTTTTCATATTAACTATAACTATTTTTTCACCATTGTTTAAATTATCATCAACTGAATTTCCAACATCTTTCTTAACAAATTCATTTTCGCCTAATTTTTTTCTCATACTTATCCTTAATGCTTCAACATTTTTTTTTATTTCATTATGAAGATAATCAAAACATATTAAACATTTTAAATGACACTATTCTAGGCAATAATTATAGTATCCATGTTCACATACAAAAACAATATCAGTATCCAAAAAGTTATCATAACTAGTACAGTTACAAGAAAGATAATCATACAAAGTAGTAGTAAAAGGTTTCCTAAATGTAATAAAGCCTCTTGGAAGATGACAATCCATTATTTCATAACCTAAAGAAGGTAATTTGTACAAGTTAATGTTATTGGATAAACTAATAATTAAAGGATATTTTTGTCATACATGATATATCTTTATGAATTTATCTAAAAACAATATTACATACTTTCAGAAAAGTACATGCAATTGCTTAGATGAATATGGATATTTTACTGAATTCACAAAATATTGCTGAAAAATATTGTCTTCACAGTATTGAAAAATAAAATAAGCTTCTTTCTGTAATTGTTGTGTTGTAAAAAACTTAGCAATACACTGTCAAATAATGCTATAAGCAATTTCTACAGGACAATTACTTAAAGAAGTAAGGTAATTAGTAATTAAATCAATCATTGAATGATTAACTTCTTTCTAATAAAACATATCAGAGAAAAACATAAGAGGTCATGTTTATAATTTCTTCAATCAAATTGAAGAAAAAAATCGCTTAGCAATACATACAAGCCTCTTCATAAGCCAGCCAGTTGCCTTCATGATGATATATTATATAAATGTTAAGAACTAAAGGGATTAGATTACTCAAAAGATCGATTAGGTATAGAAATTCAATATTTTTAGATATAGAACCAAACTTTGAGTATACAACATTAGAAATATCAAGTCATGCTATATGCATAATATGGAGCATCAAATCGATTTGCCATGATTATGGTTTCTTATTGAGTTTCTTTTTTTGTCTAAATATCTCTTTGTAGACATCATTAAATAGAAATGAGTTTTTTATAAAAATAAGCTTATGACTATTTAATGAAACATGAAAAGATCCCATCATAGGCAAAAATGCTATAACAAATAAAGAAATATTTTCATCATTAAGAAGAACCCAATGTATAATGACTTTGCAGATAAAGAACTGTCCTGACCAATCTGCAACAATTGGAATTGCATGATCAGAAAAATATTCTTGCATCAACCTCTAATTATATATGATTTGAAGTGCCTTCATATAATCTTCAACATTTTTCAAGCTAATTTCTGTAAAATTAAAAAGAATTGCATTTTTAAGATGACTGTAATTCTTCTTTTCCTCCAATCTATTATTATAACTATGCAACATTATTCTTTTTATAAGTTTATCATTAGAACATTTATCCATATAATTTTGTCTCTGATCATTATAAGAACATCCAAGATTTATGATAAATCACTTGTTAAGATGCTTAATAATCAACTCATTATTAATAATTACTGGATTGAGCACTTCACCGCATAGTATTACTGATATAGAACATGGATTTATAATAATTGTTGCCATGTGTGCCACCCAAGATGTACTCATAGTATCAGGTTGCTGTTAAACATGAATATTGTGATAATCATCAATATTCAATATAAAAGCTTTTTTTAAATGCTTTTTGAGAGCTCTCTCTATATATTCTTTATACACATCTGAAATTTTTTTCTTTTTAAAATCTAGTGCTCTTGACATTATAGATATATATAAATTAGCCATCATATCCAGACCTTCATTACTTGTATCTACAGAATCTAAATAGCATGCTATATCAAACTTTAAAAAATTAATCTTTGTATTATTTAACAATGAAAGAAGATAATATATAATCATCATTAATCTTTTTATATGCTTCATAGTTAGCTTATTACATTTAGATAGCCAAGCTGCCAGATAAAGTTGGTTGAAAAAGTCTTTCAGGCTTGGATCAATTGTTGAAAGTTCTTCCTGCATTTCATCAAACATATATATAGGATGTTCATTTCTTAAACATTTTTTCTCATAAAAGATTTTTGCTATTACTTTAATGGCTTTAATAAGATTAATCATACCCCCCTCATCATTTGCATCTTTTACCTCTTCCTTGTCAATAGATTCTATTTCTTCCTCATTCATTTCTTCCTCATCCATTTCTTCTTCAACTACTTGTTCTATTGCTTCTACCTTTCTTCTAACTGTAGCATTGATTTCTTCTATAATTCTTGCTCGTTTGGTGCTTCTTCTTAACAGATTTTCTACAAGATTCATATAATGCTTATAATATAAATAACTCTTACACTTCTATGTTACCTTTGTCAAGCCTTTATCTTTAGTCTTCTTCCATTTATTATCTTTCAATGAGCAAAATATAGATAGCTCAGTGGTTCTACATTCAATACAAGACTTAAATCCAAACATTTTTTACTAGGTAATTACAATATAAAAGCAGTGTAATTCAAAGTGATTCATTTAATATTGTTAAAGTACAGTACTAAAGCTACAAGTTTACTTAATACACTTCTATACTTTTCATTGCATAGTGTGCCACAATGGTTTTACAAAAAAGTATTGTAAAATGTATAAAAAAATTTTTTTATACTTGTATAACAATATTGAAATCATTTCCAAATTTGAACAGTCCCTCTTGAATATGAAATATGGGCAGTATAGAAGAAACTCGCATCTGATAAATTCCAGAAATGTTGTTACATGAATTATTTATATGGTAACACCATCGAATCAGTATCAGCATTTTAGTTGCTTCTCAAATAAATATATCATAAACCTATGAATTAGCTTAGTCAATAAGAGGTGATTAGATTTGGTGAGTAATGTGTTTTTGATTATAGATTTTATAATATGATTAAACAGAAAAATTATTAGAAGCAAATTTATGATGAGAACTAACTGAACTGTTCTTGAAAGGCTCGAAGCCTTTATTATATACTTTCATTTATATAAAACATGTTATACACTTTATTCGTAATATATCATTTATAACATTTATACAAATTATACTAATGATAATGTTTATACTGATTATTTTAATTATATCCTTGATTCTACTGATACCTATTATTTACCCAATGCATAGAAAACATGGTATATGGTGAATACAGTATATTGTGACAGACTATATGA